ATTGAAATAAAATTGCACTTGACATCTGTAATTAATGTGCTACGGACATCTGACAAACAATTGTAAATATTGAAAACTTATAAGCAATATTATTTCATATATTTCATATATTTATAAAATTGTTATATTTACTATAAAAGCTTCATATAAAAGCGTATATTTTGTTAAATTAATTGATTTGAGATATTAATGTATTACATTGTCTATAGTCAAATTAATAGATAATATAAAAAAGTGTATTTATAAACTTAAAATGTATAATATTAATATTACTATTAAAGTAAAAATGTCATAGCTTTAAATGATTATTTTATAATGTTTATATCTATTTATGATTGACTTATTATTCCAAATAACATAATATTCATAATATAAATATTCACATAATTAATTTAAGTTGTTTTTCCTATAAGAACTTCAGAAAAATGGATAAACACATCAATAACAAGATTAGAAGCTTGTTTAGATCGTACATGGGAGATATTGAATTCAGGTTACTGGAAAGATGTTCCAATAGAATATAGATATTGTTATTCTTTATGTGTTATTGTAAAGGTATAAAATATTGCATAATATATAATTTAACATTTGTACTATTTTTCACAAGCTTTTAGCGACATATAAATTTTATTTAAAATTGCATTTGACACATCTATAGGCTGCATTATTAGAACTTCAGTGGAAAGTAAATGCTGAAAATTATGCTGATAAAAAGAAGAAAACGATCGTATTAAAAAATATTATTAGTCAAATTGATAGAGGCATTCTATTAGGCGCACCTCTTCTTAGTATGCCAAATTTATTGACAACTATTGCAACAAAGCTAAACAATTACTGTGTTGGTAAGAATATAAATATATTTTAATTATTAACTCATAATAATGAATTATTATAGTAATAAATTTATAGTATTACATTTATAGTATTACATTAAATACTATAATATTATATTAAATATAAATTTATAGTTTTAAATTATTTAAGAATTACATTAAAATTGATTTTATTTTTCAAATTTTATTAGAAGAATCTGATATTATAAATATGGAAGATATTTCAATTGATCATGAAGGAACTAACTATTTAATTTCTAACTATCCGGATAGATATTTTGAACAACCTTCGATGCAAACATTTTACAATAAAATTTTTATGCCAAAATTACCGGCGGTATTAACAGGTATATGTAAAGCAAATGCCTTTCATCAAATCATATATTAACAAAATACTTGGTTTTATATTAATGTAATCTGTATCATGACAAAATTCTGAATTTTATTTACCCTGAATAACATAAATATTTAGTAGTCTGACTGTACTTTAAATATTATAGAGAAAAATAAAATATTTTATACATTTCATTAGATTGTATGAATCACTGGAAAGCACTAACGTTATGGAAAAATCCTAATTATTTGAATAAGATCGCAGGATCTCGAACAGTACCGATTGAAGTTGGATCTTGTTATACTGAGGAAGATTGGACACAGCATCTTGTCAATTTTTCTGAATTTTTACAAAAACATATTATTGCAACTAATAGCGAAGTTGGTTATTTAGCACAACATCAATTGTTTGAACAGGTATTAATTCGCTGCACGCGACGAAATCTTATAGTTAATGTTATATAAAAATGATTAAAATGTTTTGTATAAAAGAGTGATTTTTAAATCAATCTCAATTAGATACCAGAGTTGAAAGAGGATTTCGAAGTGCCGGAATATTGCTATTTTTCGGATAATGAGGAAAATGATGCAGAATCATCAGAAGTTGATATTAATGCCTGGTTTGGACCTGCTAATACAGTGTCGCCTTTGCATTTTGATCCGAAAAATAATTTACTTTCTCAGGTATATAGAAAGAGATTTACAATGGAAGTGTTTGAATAAAATATTAAAAATTATTTTAATTAATTGAAAAATATATAAAATTAAATATATATAAAAATATACTATATTTTTTTAAATATTGCACTTAGTATTGTCATCATTTTTATTTTTTTAGGTATTCGGTTACAAAAGAGTTATTTTATATTCTCCAACTGAGACAAATAATTTGTATCCTTATGATACTAAATTACTTAATAATACTGCACAAGTAGATCCTGTGAGACCAGATTATGACAAATGGCCAAATTTTCGTAAAGCTAGCGGCATAACATTTTATTTAAAACCCGGAGAAATGTTGTATATCCCACCAAAATGGTGGCATCACGTAACCGCTCTTACTCCGAGTTTTTCAATCAGTTTCTGGTGGAATTAATGTTTATTTTGTATAATATTATTTTGTATAATATTTATGGCGTAATAATTTACAAATGGATTAAATTAAATTTTGTTATTAAAATTATTCAATTTTTATTACAACACGTATTATATATAATCAACTCTATAATCAATACTTTTACAAATTATTTCTTTATTCTTGAATAATGTAGAAAGTTGCTGATTATATGTATTGTATTTTTAAAATAAATTTGAAGAATGTGCTTTAATGTATATAAAATTCTTAAAATAACAAAGATATACAGAGGGACTTTTAAACATAGTGGACGGAATATCTTAGAAAATATGAAAGATACGGAAAATGTTTCAGTTAAAAATTTTATGGTTTGACGAGACAAATATTAGTAAAATTAATTCTCGAAAAAATCAATTTTTTAAAGTCATATTGAGTTATAAAAAAATATCAACTATAAATTAACTTGTACATTCCTAGTAAATGAGACTAGATAAATAGAATGAAATTTTAATCTATTTGAATTCATCCGAATGCGTATTTTAGTAGCATTCGCGGTCCATTTTCACTTTTTTTAGATTCAATTGGATTAAAAACTCCTATTCAGAATTTTTTATTGAGCAGTATTCTTAAAGAATTAAAATTTTTTTAGATTGAAAGGTATAGAAATGTTCAATTCTTATATGAATAAAAATTGGGATTCATGAAAAGGATTAATTTCAATATTCGAATGCATATTTCTAAAAATCTAAATTCATTTCAATTTATTCTCGTTTACTGAATTGTTAACATCACGACTGTAAACAATGTTTAAAAGTTTTTAGCTGTCAGTCAAACATCTTGGATAATGCTTAATGTCGATAGTCAAATATTATATCGCAAAATAACTATTTAAAAATTAAAAATCCAAGCAAGTTTTCTACGAAAACTATTGGCACGTTTAAATGAACATAGTACATTTCTTGCAATAGTAAAATTTGTTTCACTTGTAAATTTCTTTTATTAATTTATATCCTCAAAACAGTTGAATTTTCGATTAAAAAAAACTTTTTTATTGATAGTAAAAAAAACCAAAGACATTTAAAGTTACAAGGTCATCAAAATATGATAATACCTACAATTTTGATAATAGGTATTCCCTTATTTCTAACCGTTTTCGAAAAAAACATAGTGAACTTTTTATCAGACCTATCCTGTATACACGCACGCACGCATGCACGCATTATAAAGTAGGAAAAATACATCTATATGTGTCTTTCGATATGTTAAAATTAAACATACTCGTAAATTTATGTGATTGTTAATTTACTAGCTTTGGATATTAATGCAAAACGCAATTACTTAACAAAGGCGCGACGTATAGGAGTTTAACAAAAATAATATATAGAACTCTATTAATATCCGGTAGTCTACGTCTTCAGCATGGTGCTTACAGAGCGTGCGTGCGTATACGTAGTTTGTCAAAGAGAATATACAGTTTATTATTTAGTAATGACGAGAGAAGACGCATTCCCACCGATCATTAGGCTCCAGGTAAAGATCCGTGTATTAATCAATATTTGTCAATCTTCTATTATATTCAATTTTTTTTTTCAAAATCCCTGTTGTATATGAAAAATTTTTAAATCAAGCATTTTATATAACAATTCCCTATAGTTTTAAGATCTTTAAACATATATTGCTGACATTAATAAACATATATGTTATAATTATCAATGATTATTTTTCAAATGATTTCTTTTCAAATATGTCTATACAACTACATTGATAACAAGTAAGATTAACTTTTATTTTTATGAAAAATATATGGATCAACAGCGTAAATAAATATCAGATGATCGAATCAGCTGACATTTCGCTATCAAGCTTCACTCGTGGCGATTATTGGATACTGCCCAGAAAGCGATAGCTCGATACTATTTTTAGAAATAATTTGTCAAAGTATTCTGAAACGTTATTTACATGTGTGCTTGAAAAAGTAGTTACCTATCCTATGTCAACATTTTTGCAAACTATAAGTTCATTGAATTTTTTTTTAATAAAATCATTCAATAATATTATTCTTTTATTTCAATGCTGTTTTTCAATGAGAGAAAAAGTTGTTTGTGTTTCACGCTTCACTTTCTATGAATCGTATAACGTGGCAGTTTTCAAAATAAAGGCTATATATATGTACGTACAAATGTGTTTTATTGTAGTTTCGTGTTTTTATTTTTTTTTGCAAGTAATAATAATTATTTTTAAAGTTATAAATAATGATGTTCAGTTAATTAACTGCCAATTCAGCAAAATTATGCTCCATAACAAATTTGTTATTATCTATATATGTAAAATAATATTATATATTTATGTTAATGTTAAAATTTATAATACCTATCTTCTTAAATATCCGCAATAAATATACATGTGACACGAAAATAATTTGAATCTTAATTGACAGCAATTTGATTCAGAATTATTGTTAATAATAACAGGATGTCTCTAGTATAAGTTTTGACAAAGCGCTCGTGTGTGTTTTGTCAATATTCGTGCCAAATATTGGTCTTGAATAATTTTTTATTATTTTTTTCAAATATATATATATAAATATATAAATATATAATACTATCAACTTTACAGAAAAACTGCAAGAGACAAAAATTATTTATTTTCTTCTCATAGAACTCTAAGAATTTTTTCAGAATTTTTTAGTACTGCATTTTTTTATTTTTACTAATATGAGAAAATACGTATTAAAAAATTCTCAGAACTTTATGAAGAGAAAATAAACAATTTTTATCTCTCGCTGTTTTTCTGTAAAGTTGATAGTATTTGAGTAAAAAATTATTGAAAATCAATATTCTGTGATTTTTAATAATTAATATCTTGTTAACTATTGCGAAAATTGCAAAATGATAGAGGACTTTTCGACTTAAAACAGTTTAGTCTGTTTTATCTATATACAAGCGCTTTGTCAAAATTTACCTTGTATATATGTATAGAAAATAAATTTCTGGACGCGATAACAAGAGCTGAACCTTTATATGTATCCTTGAATTCTCACAGCCGATTGGTACGCAAGAGAATTAAGGGTACGAGATGTGTGGCAGCACGCTGGAGTCGAGGGGTCGTGGCCTTGGATAAAGTCACGCGAGTGCAAGGTTGTATCGAGAGATGTATTATGTGACGGGGTGACGTGTATACATACCTACATAACGTACTTTCTACTTGCGGCCACACAAACTCGACTGTAAAGATTTTATTGATCGCAATGACATGCTGCTTATTTCTTTTAAGATTTAGGACATTGACGTTATCATTTACCAAAATAGCTACAATTATTTTTTTTAATATCATCGTGCTTTTGCAAGCACACAGCGAAAAATTATTATAACTTTACGTTAATGTAATTGCGAGATTATAATTATTATTTTAGATTATTTGGGATTATAGCCAATTAATATTAATTGGCTATATCTATATTATTAAAATCAATAGAGATGTCCCAGAATAACCAAATATTTTGTGCGCAGATAGAGCGGACTAAATAGAGTTGAAAAGTCCTTTGCAATTTTCGTAATAGTTAACAAGATATTAAAAATCGCTGAATATTGATTTTCAATAATTTTTTACTCAAGTACTGTCAACTTTACAGAAAAACAGCAAGAGACAAAAATTGTTTATTTTCTTCTCATAATAAAGTTCTAAGAATTTTTTCAGAATTTTTTATCAACTTTTTAATACATTAATTTCTTATTGGCAATTATTTTTACCGATATGAGAAAATACGAAATTAAAAAATTGATAGTAAAGTCAGATAAAAAATTATTAAATATAAATATTCAGCGATTTTTAGTTATTAATAGTTATTAATAGTTATTAATAATTATTAATAGTTGTTAACTACTGCGAAAATTGCAATGGTAGAGGATTTTTCGATTTGTTTGTTCTATCTACACGCGTGCTTTGTCAAAACTTACCGGACACTCTGTTTATGTGTATAGAAAATACAGTCTACCTATGCACGAAATATTTAATCTCATTCTGGGACCCTGTATAAATTAACTATATTTTGCTTTTTTTTGCAAATGTTGGAGAGAAAAAAAATGAAGAAAAAATATCAAGAATAATTAAAAAAATTTATTAATTTTTACAATTATAAAATATAAAGTTGTTCAATTTATTATTTAAATATATAGAATCGCTATTTTTGAAATATTAATGGCAAGAAATTTATAGTAAATTATTAATACATTTTAATTTAATAAATGAAGAAATATTTTAGTATAAAATTGTTCAATATTGATTAAAGAAACATACTAAAATTTAAAAA